CCAACAGAAGTTGTATAGTCAACAATGGTGCGGATTGTGTCCCCAGTGCGCTGAACCAGATCAACAGGACTGGAACCGGTTTGAGGAGCGACGAAATCATCTGCCCATGCAGGCTGGCCCAGCTGAATTGGCCCCTCGAAATCAATGCAGTCGGGACGCTGCTTGCATGGCAGCTGCGGGTCCAAACCTTCTGCACGCAGGCGGTGCTGTATGGCCTGAAGTGCAGCAGCAAGACTGAAACCAAAGATCAGATCTGCTGTCGGGTCGCCGGGGCGAGAGCCCTTCTTAGTAGAGGTGAGGTCAGGGAATCCCGAGAGTCTGAACCACGTACCCCGAAACAAGTCTTGCACCATTGCAATGGCGTGAGAAGAAGCTCCGAGTAGTGGCAGCTGAGCCATGGACTCAAGGTGTGTCCGAAGTTCGCCGATGGCGACAGCAGGCAGTCGCAAATCATGAAATAGCTTCAACAGCTTGGAGTCGTCGTCAACATGTGGCACGATAGTCTGACGCAGAACTCCATAGAAAGCCGCCTGCAAATCAAAGAACACTAGTGCTGCGTACGATCCCCTGCCAGTAGACATGGCAAAGAATGTTCGTGCCGCAAGTGCGACTCCTTCAATGCCTCGCCCTGCCGCAACACCGGATTGGAAGGCGGGCTGAGAATCGACGAGCAGCGGTTTAAGGACTTCTCTGAGATTGCGATGCAGCAGCTTCCCTGGTACCGAAGAGATAAGTATAGAGCGAAAAGCCTCGCACGTCAGGGCTCGGCTAGCCCGTTTCGCGAGGCAGCACAAATCACCGCCCCTGAAGGCGACCGGTTCGTAGGCACGGAGTGTGGCTTTGAGGTATACTGGTAACAACTGTCTCGCAGCTGCAGGAGCATTGAGTTGCAGCAATTCTGAAGTAATACCGTCCGGCCCAGCCGCCTTGCCCCGTTTGGCAGTGATGATGAGTTGCTCTATCTTGGCGAGCGTAGGGGGAACTCGCATGTCAAGGCTCCAGGGGAGCACTCGGGAATCCTGGAGGTCTTCGATGTACTCGTCAGGCGTGACGAGTTTGCCAGCTTCCTGTGAGGCGAAGTGCCGTCTCCAGGCTTCCGCTCTTTCAGAGGTAGTGGTGGCGGTGGTGCCATCCTCTAATTGAAGCATGGGCAGTGCTCGAGGAGTCGCTCTTCTGGCAGCTCTTGCAGATGGGAAGATTCGCCGGAGAGCTCGGTACAGAGATTTAGGATCCTGGATGTTACGAGCAGCAAGCTCGTCAGCAAGGACCTGGACATGTGCTGCTTTGTCGGCTGCAACGGCGCGACGAAGTGAAAAAGTGGTGCGCCGGTAATTCGCAACGACAACCGCTTCGTTGCGGTCGGCTGTGCGTAGCCAGCCGTCGGCAAGCATGAGCTGGGCTGCA